AGTAGTGGCAGCAGTAGCAGTAGCAGCAGCAGCAGCAGCAAGAGGAGGAGGAGGAGGCGGAGGAGGAGGCGGAGGAGGCGGAGGAGGAGGCGGAGGAGGAGGAGGAGGAGGAGGAGGAGTTGTTGTGGCAGCATCAGCAGCCGCAGCAGCAGTAGCAGTAGTAGCGGCAGTAACAGTAGCAGTAGCAGTAGCAGCAGCAGCAGCAGCAGCAGCAGCAGAAGCAGCAGCAGCGGCAGCAGCAGCAGCAGCAGCAGCAGCAAGAGGAGGAGGAGGAGTTGTTGTGGCAGCAGTAGCAGTAGCAGTAGCAGTAGCAGTAGCAGTAGCAGTAGCAGTATGAGTAGTCGTCAAGCGTGTGCGCGGGGGTGTTTGAAAGGGGTGGTGGCCCTAGTCGTCAAGCTTGCACTCCCACCAAATCAAGAACTCTCCTCCCGAACCGGCCTTTGACGCCCCAGCAAAACGGGCGGAAGGGCCTGGCACGACAGGCCCTTGCCCACAAAGCAGTACACGATTGCAAGATCAGTCTTGCAGGTATTCGCAGTGCTCGCCAGAATCCCTTAGACAAGGAGCCCGGGCTACAACACCCTTCCCGAATGGGAGAAGCCAAAGAATGGCTTCGAGGGTGCCACTCGCCGGAGCTGAGTTTTGGAATATGTTTCGATGCTAGTGACTACTGGAAGCTCTCAGTTCCTCACTCCGAACCATGTTCAACCAGAAACCATTCATAGCCTACGCAGACCTGCCATAGTGGTGGAACGATCTTTTTGGTTCACCGGGTCGTTTTCTGTTGGCAGTGTTGCCGTCTAGGCGGTCTGAGGCGATTGAAGGACTGACAGACTGTTTTGATTCTGGATGCAAACTGTCGTTGCAGTCGGCCCACAGTGTTTGCCATGGGTTTTGAATGATATTGGGTTGGTTGGACGCTTCAGCTTTTCCCTTTACGAATCTGAAGCCGTTCAGGCTGAGGTCGAGAGTGGCATTGTGTTTTTCTTAAGCAGTAGTAGTGAAGCTTGAGTGCCCCACCCTGCGGAGCCTGCAGATGCATTTGACCCCCAGGGTGGGGCGCAAAATGGTAGAGACGGGACAAATTCCAACAGGAGTGGTCTTTCTTGATGTTATAACAGTCAGAGGTGGTTTGAGGAGTCAAAGGAAAGTAAGTAGGCTCTCTCTAGCATACTACATGTGGGATGACACCTGACAATGGTCCATGGATCTACATCGGCCAGCCCTGCTTACTTGTGTCATGCCCAAAGTGTGCGCAACTTTGTAGAACTGTTACGTCCTGTCAGTACAGAGGATCTGCTCATGGTTACTATGACCGCGAGGCATGTCCATACAATCCACACTGCGATTCCGCAGTTCCGGTTGTGTCGCAGTGAAAATTCTCTACTACAGCCGCATTCTTTCCACAGTGCCTTTGCCGCCACATCCTCGATGGAGACCCGCGTCATGGTAAATTCCAGTACTTTGGCGCTCCCGGTCCGGTCTCTTTTTGATCGTCAAATTGCACGAGTTCTCCGAGATTGTGTTTCCGCCACAGTGCCGTGTGCATTTTGGGATGTGCATCGTTTTGACGCCGCAGTCCTGCCTGACGAAATCATACTCCATTACAGTGCCGCGCAGGTTTTGGCTGCGACTCGTGTTTCTGCTTCAGAAAAATTTACTACCGCCACATTTTGTTGTAGGGTCGTCTGCTGCCCCACTGCGGTGATGTGCGGTATATGTGTGTGTGTGTGTGCCAATCGCGCTACCGCCACATCGTGGTGCGCAGTTGGAGATGGTTTGGGATGCCTTGGGGCGCTTCGGTAGCGGTTCTCGGGACTGTAGCACTTGGAATGCTTGATGCTCTTTCACTGTTTGAGATCTATGCTAGGCACAGTCTGCTGACAACACTATGCTCTTGCAAGCTAAGCCCGACTTCCCGATGAAATGGTATCCCGGAGCCTTCAATTTTGCACCTCAACTTCCATAAAAAAAACGCGTGAGCCGAGTTGAACGGAGATCAAGCTCCGCTGGGATTCTGGGACCCCCTTGGCCTTAGCAAGGACCAGGACGTAGACGCTCCGTTGGACTTGGAAGGAATTATGATTCGTTCTTCGAGATAGGGCTTTGTGATATTTGCGCAAAAAGCGGGGATCCAGGGCTCAGGCAAGCGTCCATCTTCTTGTTGCAGGCATCGCAGTAGCGATGTCTGGCAGGAGTGTCATGCCCGCTGGCTTTATAGGATGCAGCCAACCTTTCGACTTGGCGAGATTCTCTTTAACATATTGCAAACGATGAACATCCTGCACTTGACTTGAACTTCCATAGTTTGGGGGCAGGGGGGAGATGAATTGTGCAACCTTTTGTCTGTGTGCATCGAGAGTGGCCAGCCTGACATCTGAAAGTAAGCTACGTCCAAATCATCACTGTCCAGCTCTAAGGAAGTGTTCAAAAGGCGCCGCGAGACAGAGATCAAGCATGGCCGTGCTGTGGCGCAAATCGTAGCATACATGTGTTCATCGATTGGGGTGGAGGAGCGTCTTTGAAGGCTTTTTGTCAGGTTCAGGCCTTTCGTCGCGTCTTCGTTGAACATGTCGAAGTGCCGTTCTGAGGTTTCGGGGGGTGTAGGGCGATGGACTGCTGACGTCCTCTTGTCCATCCCGACAATCGCAGCATTTCAGTACTCACATAAGTCCTGCCGGCCGTATGGCGGGGCTAAGAACCTCAGGAAGAGTCGCCGTCTGGTTTTACTGAAGACCGGTTTCCGTCTGCACGGTGCCCTTCTAGGAACACCCCCCTCACCATTTCACTCTTCGGTGGAGTAAGCTTGTTGTCGCTATGCAAGCTATAAAAACCCCTGTACCGCCCAACCCTTCAACCTAAATCCCAAGCCTGGCGGCTGCGAGGCGTTGCCATGTTCGCAACCATCGGTCCGGAGACACAGAGCCCGTGCTGGCTTTGTGGGTTTCTGGTGTAGCCTGCAGTATTTCGGAAACAGTTTGTAGACACGAGCTCTCCAGTGGATGTCCTTTTAGGGATTGAACTGAGACGCATTTCTTCCTTGGGAGAGGTTCGGGGCGCAGCGCAATCCAAGCAGCCGGCCAACTGTAAATGATTGTTTGCACCTCTTCAACGAAGAGGCCTCACCCGACAACCCTGCCCTGTGCGGATGCGACAGACATCGGTTAGAATTTGAGTTGTCTATGCAGATGTCAGGCTAGAGGGTTCCCGTCTTATTCGCGGTGGCTCCTCGATGGCTTGTGTAATCAGCTGTTCTGGTTTGGGGTTTCCAGCCCTGCGGTCAAACACCACGCAAGAGTATCAGCCACTGCTGACAGCATTCTCGAACCCAGGGACAATCTCCTTTCTTCAGACACACATTCGAAGCTACCTCGCGAGGCTATATTGTGCCGGAGTACTACAAATTCCCCGGCTTGCTGTCTCCGTCGCAGGGACTGAAGTTCGCTGTGGCTTGCCCGGAAAAGAGACCGAAAGCCCGAGAAACAGTTAGCAGCAACACGAAGTTGTTTAACTGCATCGCGAACTGAGCTGCGGCTACCTTGTTGATGTTGGATTTGTTCATGACATGCCTTCAGAAGTTTCCTTACCTGTTAACTGTTAACCGTTTGAGGCCCTTTGCAAATTCACGGCTCGGAAGGGTTTCAAGCCTTGCCCGTTTCAGATGAGGGTCTCAGATGTTGGGGCCTTTGCATCCAGCTTCGATCTTCAAGTTAGCTCACACGCGCTTTGTATCTTCGAATGTCTTTAGCCGAGGATGTGCCGAATGGACTGAAGGCGCTGCCTGACAACGGTTAACGTGATTTAGGGGTTTGGGGCCTCGGTGCTGTCGCGCTGGCTTCCACCGGAAGTTATGCGTGTCATTTTGATTGCTCTGTAGAGCACGCCCTGTACACCGGACCTTCGATATGTTAAACTTGAATCTTGAGCTTATGTCAGTCCCGACCTCAATTTCTCAAGCCTGAGTGGGTTAGTGTCTACTGTACTAGCGAGATGGGCATGGGGAGCATTCTCTTTGTGAAGATCCTGTTGCAAAGCTTTTAGGGTCGAGCTGGACTTCGCCTTCATGTGTGCAGCTAGCAAACGCTGAACTCTCTACCCTAAATGCCTTCCAGAACAAAGCGTTGAGAAGAATTCTGCACATCCCACCTACCTCCATAGATAGAAAAAAAGGACCAGACCAATGCTCGTGTGTATGATAAAATACGAAACGACTATGGATGTTCTTTTGAGCGTCTAGCGGACACTTGGCGCAAAGCAAAGTTCAGACTTTTTGGACACATATTGCGAGCCAGCCCAGCGGATCCTCTAGTTCAAGTTACTTTCAAAACAGACGGATTGACACCTAGAGCTCCCACCAGAAGGGCGGCCAGGCCCAAAGCAGATTGGACAACCGAAGCTTATCAGCACCTTTCGCTGTGTTCAACATGAAGTTGATACATCGGGACACAGTCCCAAAGGCGGTCGGCCTCTCGAGGTATTCCTCGTGGTAATCGCGTCATCTTTGCCTGGGAAGGGTGGTGCTATTTCCGTTTTTGATTTACTCATTGCAGCGCTAATGGTTTGAAGGTAACGTTTACTCTATGATTGCTGAACTTGCCTCACTGCCCTAATGTACCTCCTACTCGTGCTTTGCATTCTCACAATCCTGTTGGGAGCCCTTCTGCTCTGCCAAGTCAATAGTTAGAGTTTGCCAATTTGCAAGTTACAAGTTTTCGGGAGATGTGAGTGTTATCCGTTAAGTTTGGACTAAACTGGGTTCGCTCGACAGAGTCAAGAGCTCGAAGCACAAACCTTCAAATTTGAACACCGAAAGACCAGGATTGAGCTCAAGCCGTTCAATAAACATCCTACTGCTTGTTCATTACAAATGCAACGGTACACGATGCTGAATCGAAGTTTATATTTCATATATTGAGCCACATTAGTACAGTTGGTGAGTTTACGTGAGACAGGGGCTCGATTCTCCTACACGGTAGCCCGGACACCTAAATCACCCGCAGGTTTTCTCGAAAATGAGAGCCATGCAAGGCCTAAGCTGCTTCGCCTGATTCTAAGGCTCTCAGTGGTCCCGAAGGAGGGTTGGGCGCAGTGGCTTGGCTCACAGTCACTGTCGCCAAGGTGGGTTTGAAGGTTGACAGATCAGAAGGTGGCTTCATTTGGGAAGCGGCTTGGAGAACAGCTGAGTTGGGTGAGTGGAACATGAAGGTGGTCAACACTAGTAGTAGGAAAAAATCTGACGGAAGATGCCACGAAAGATACTGAACAGACACCGCGAAGCAGTCCGCAGCAGCTCTGAAGATCCGGCAGCAGGTTCCTGCAAGTCATTGCTTGTTTTCTTGTTTTTGAAATTGGCAGCGGTCACCCGGGGAATAAAGTGCGAGTTTGTTTCTCACCTGCCCCCCGCTGCAAGGAGTGCAGCTGTGTGTATCTGAGTACATTGCACAAAGCATCTATGAAATTGGAACCGGGCAGACAAGCCCAGGCTCGAGACATCGATAGAAGGAGACTTCAGTGTACGATCATGAAAAGCAAAGCGAACACAATGTGAGGATTTTGGCCTTCGCTGGCTTCATTGAGCTTGTAGCGCCTCCGCAGCAGAAGCCGGACTCAGGATTTTTGGCAGATGAAGGAACCAGCATGTGTTCTTGAAGCAGTGATGCATGCATCGACAGTTAGCATCGCTTGCTGCATGGTATTCGGACAGACCAGCTCGCAAGGTCAACAAGAAGACTTCCGAGCCAGGAAACTACGGCAGCCTGGCATGCTGGAATTCTGATGTTCAAGTTCTGTGTGGGTTTACATCTGCCACATCTTTCCAGAACGGTGAAAATCCAAGAAACATGTCACCCATGCACGAGGGGTGCATCTCAACCCCGTAACCATAGATAAGGTCCACAAGCCTTCTCTGTCCACACCCAGGAAAAGGTTTCCTTGGGCTCGGAGCCGTGGGCTTCGGCAGCTCCATCAACGACCCCACGGCTGCGGGGAAGAGGGGGGAGAGTTTGGACGACACAATTTAGGAATTGAAGCCTTTGCACATAGAGCGCCCATGTAAATTTACCGGTCAGGTAGACCGCCTGTTCAAGTGAAAGTCCTTGTGTCATTGACGACTACTCTATTACACAATATAGATTTCAACATTGATAAGATTATAAGCACTCGGAATCCTCAAGCTGTTATTGAAGAGTTGGTTAAGTGCAACTCATGGCTTTTGATTCAACCAGCGTGTGCAAACCACAGCATGTTACAACTGGGCAGAGAAGCTGCGGCTTTCTGAGCCCGTGCAAAAACAGTGCCCCGGCAGTTGCGCGCGAAGAAGCTCTCGGCAGAGATTGCAAACGGGAGGTTGGCGCGGCTTGACTCGACAACACTCATGCAATCTGACATGCTACATGTCTTGTGAGCCGAACACCAAAACAGCGCTTAGCAAGTGATAGAATTTCGAGTCCTCTGCATCTTGATGTTCACGGAGCCTCGCCCACAAACTGTTGTTCAATGGTGGCTTTACATGTTATCGGTCCATCGGTTCTCCCGTTTCAGAAAGTAGGATCTGAGGCCTCTAATCATGGGAAGTCCCGGGCGAACCGTTCCACTAGTCCGGGCGCAAGGCATTCTGTTCGGCTCAGCAGGCTTCGTGCGAAGCAGTTCGTTCAATGTCCCATGACGGCTTGGCAATTCATCTGAGGATGATGGCAATTATCGGAATGTTCTTCCAGGCCTTGTCGGGATGAACGTGTCATTGGCCGAGTTGGATTTGTTTAATTTTAGATCGGCAGTAGAGAACCTGCACACAGTGTAGATTGTGCCCAAGAGTTTTCTCAGTGCAAACTTTACGCAAAGAAGTCAAATGGACAACCTACGGCTTCAACCCATCGCAAAGCACACATGTAGCCCCGGCCCCTGTCAATCCCGAATCTCTGTTTGGCAACATCAAAAGGACGGTCTCACCGGATCTGCTTGGGGTGACTGGGCGCTGTATACGGACTCGCCTCTTCGGGCGTTCGAGGACGATGCCTGGTTGCTTAAACTGTTCTGCTCAAAGAGATAGCCACAGTAGCAATTACGGCTCCTGGAAGCTAGCAACGGAGTTTCGTCTCATTCTTTGGGTCGCCATGTCAGTTTCCACTGAATGGAAGCTTACGGTTCAGCATTGGGGATTTTAGTGTGTGAACCTGTGCAACAAATCCGCGGACTACAGGTTCGAGGATTGGGGTGCCGGTTTTTGAGGCAAGAAATAATGTTTGAATGCAGCTACGCCAAGCACACTACCCCGCACAGACAAAGCTGCACGTTTGTTTCTCCCCTCTGAACTGTTCAGCAAATCATGTAGATGTGACGACAACAATTTATGGTCCATCTGTCTGAGTTTCCATCTTATCTCCCAGCTGGAAAGGCATGGCTCGGTCTCTTCCAGTGTTCTGAGTCTAAGACCGTTTTAGATAATGTTAAGGGGTTCTAAGCCGCTGAAGGCCATGCTGAGACCTGTGCTGTGAACACTACTAACCAGTGCATGCGGAGCTGAGGAAACTGGTGTCCAAGCGCCAGTGGCTTCGGTTCAAATTGGCAGCGTTGTCTTGTGAGAACAGAGTTCACGACTATCCATTCAAAAAGATAAGCTGGAAACCAGGCCTAAGGGCCGGACATCCAACAGGCAGATTGTTGTCCCATGGTGGTTCCGACCTTTGCAGATTCCGTTCGTTGCTAGTTCGCTGAATGTGCTGTTTTAAGCTTCTCCTCTCTTGTTTTGTGTTCATTACCTCCAATCCTAAGTTTCAACTCCTCAGTGACACTCAATGTTTCCGAAGCATTCAGGGTCTAAGCCTAAACCACGCCAAGCAAACTTAATACCAATCTTCAGAGGTCGGCTTCTGGGACCCGCTGGGTCTGTCTGCCAGTGGCAACATCTCCGTGCCTTGACGACTTTGGATCAGGGTTCCGATTGAAGGCACCGGGATGAAGATGTGTGGGGATCGAAATCGACAACGTCGAGCTCAGCTGCACAAGTAGTTGTCTTATCCATCCTGATTTGTGGCATCGCATTCGAAGTGGCAGATCCTACGTATGGGGGCGCTTCGGCCGCAATTACATCCCTAACCCGAACCCTGGAAGCCGTCAGCTCAATGGTCTCGCTGCATGCATCTCGACCAGTTGGGGCAGATTCCTTCGAAGAACATGTGTTCTGTTCTCCGCTACACGAAACAAACCTTCTTTAAGCCCTCGGAACAAGCAAATGCTTGTGGGCATCATGCTCGTTGCTTTCTACAAGACTTCCAGCAGTCCGAGTACTGTGCATTGGCACTCGCCTGCTGAGCAATCCTAATCATAATCTGCTTTCGGGAAGCCATGCCTGTTTGACAACATTGCAACTCTTTGTTTCGACGCCGCCCGCACACTCAACTTCTCTCAAATTTTGGAACCACCACAGGACTTCAAGCGCCGCCGGGAAGTGGAGCTGAAGCACGGCTCCTCGAAATAATCTGGCCTAGTCTTAGTAGTCTTGGCTTGGATCATACTGCTCAGGGGTTTCGGGCCGAGCTTCGAGCCTCTAGATTCATTGGTGATCTGCATTTCGGCCATTTGAATAAACATCCTCAACGGTTTGTCGAAGCTTCTCCAGCCCCACAACACCAGCTCAGGCCGAGTGGCCATGTTCGCCACGATCGGATATATTCTGCCGGAATACTGGCGCTTCCCAGGCTTGGTGTGCTTTGAACACGAATTTCAGGGTTTGGTGTGCAAATGTCATTAGCCCCAGGCTCCGCGCCCTTGAAGCTTTCTGGGTCACGTGGTCGTGCCCAAGCCCTATTTGGTGTTTCAAAAGAGTTTCCCTGAGGCTATCTTTCCAAGTACTTGGACATCAAGTTCGCCGATGTACCGAATGGTCTGTCGGCTTTCTCCAAGGCATGATGCCCCTGCAAGCCGAGTGTCTTTGTCAGGGAGCTTGTTCGGAGAGAGAACTACTAGTTCTGGAAGGAAGGTTTTGCCTTGTTGTTTTCCTGCCTGCTTATCTGCGGACAGCATCCACTGCCATATGTGTGGCTTTAGAAGCAGAGTCATCGATGAACGCCTTCAAGTTCTCAAACAAAAGAGCTGGAAATGCGGAATCTCTAACACTCGAAGAAGCATACCGCTCACAGGAGCTTTAAAGCTCTGCAGGTGCCGGCCTTCGGCTGGCTCCAGATCGTGGGCTTTGCGGGGATCGTTGAGATCCAAGCCCGGCTGTCGATTTAGAAGATGAGTTGATGGGTTTAGATCTGGCTTCTTTGAGGTGGAGGGTTAGCTGAGTATGCTTGGTGTAGAGTTTAGGGGCATGCATTTGGGACATGGAAAAAAGAGCTAGGATGGAATTGAATTTCAACTTGCAACTTGTGACCAGACACCATTTGGCCGCCAGTACTTAATGCTTCCCCTTGTTTCAAATCCTGAGACGCACTTGCGATGTACATAGGGAAGCCACAACTCGAAGAAGAGCCAGATCTACAACGAGCAGATCAAGGATGAGCCTGGCAACTACGGAGCGGGCTTTTTAGGCTGGGTGCTGCATTTTGGCATGTCCTTGTCCCATAGATAAATTGTGCATGGCATGTTCATGCATCGGAGAAAGGTTGATCGGCTGTGAAGCAGCTTGTCCGGGATGCTGCATCTCACTCAGATGGTGGTCAATATTCTGTTAAGCTGTCGAGCATGTGCCTCAGGAGTGAAGGATGCAGTATTTCCAGAGGTCTATTTCGGCTGTTGCAGTTTGCCTTCGATAGCTCGGTAGCCACTTCAGCCCAAGTTCCCGCTCCAGGCCTTCAGCCCGTGTTGTGAGCAATATTATTCCGAACCTTTGACTGTTGCTTCGGCCATGGTGATCGGCCCGGCATGGACACGTGGGGAAATCGAGCGTCCGGCAGGAAGCAGAAACATGGGGACCTGGACAGCAGCAGTGTACACGCAGGAGCAGCAGCAGCGCTTGGGAGTTGACGAGTATGGTCAGAAGATGACTTCAGCTCCAATGACTGTGAACCTTGGTGGGACTCATTACAACATATCTCCGCCACTGGTCGAAGACATTGGGAGTTGGAAGATCAGTCATTTCGGATACACACCCGAGCAGGAGGCTCGACTCGGAAGTGACCATCACTGCACCCAGTGCAGTGGTTTGCCTGTAGTCCCTCCTACTCTGACAAGCTCGCTGGCGAAAGCGCTGCTGAACTCGCCTGCTCTTATGAAGGGCCTTTGCAACATGTATTTTCGACGCTATGACAGAAATCGCAATAACACTCTTGAGCTCAGCGAGGTGCACACACTCTGCGATGATTTGCATATTGGCCTCGGCATGAGCATCAGTGGGGTCACTTCAGATGGCCTCAAGGCCTCGATCGGAAGATTCAGCCGAGATGGGGCCGATGACAAGCTCAGTGCGGACGAGTTCCCTCTCTGGTTCGCCGAGACGCTCAAGGAAAGCATCGAGGAGCACCAAAGGAGGGAGCAGGAGCAGGAAGCGGCTCTTTTGTTACCTCTGACGGTGAGATCAGAGCGTCAAATAGCTACGATCAAGGTGCCAGTAGATCTTAGCATGCACGATGTTATAGAAGGGGTTGCAGCCGTTTTCGAGTTGCCAGCTGCCAACACATGCCTTCTTCATGGAGCCAAACAGCTCCCTTCGGGTGAAACTCCCTTGTCCGACCTTGGTCTGGAAGAGCAGACTGAGCTTACGGCAGTCGTGGTCGGCAGATAGTGGCCCTGTTTGAGGATGAACGGGGTCGAGTCTGTAGAAAGAGGGGCCTCCAGCATCTGAGGGATGACTTATGTGCACCACCTGCATTAGGGTGGTAGTGCAACGAGAGGTGAACATGTTCTATGTACAGTACGCCCGACAATGCTCGAAAATAGTTCAACCTACCAGAGTTGCTGTTTCATGCAAACAGCATGCACCGTGTCCTGAATCAACTTCATTGCAGTTGCATGTCTTGTTTGCAACATTTGGTCACCTGCCGTCCGAGGCTCGTGGCCCTTGAATGTGTAATCAGAAACCTCGGACCGCGCAACTTGCCATTGTGACTTGTTTCCAATCCATTCTTCTCGGATCTGCCCAAGAAGTCGCAGCTTCAGGACTCTTCTTCTGTGTGCTTCCTACGAACGCTGGAGCTGTGGCTCTGAAGAATTCCCCGGGCCCACAACGGTGTGCACTTTACTTGTCGGAGGCCTCAGATCCATTGGCATCATGAACACCGGCATCGAGGACCCGGAGGTCCGCACCTGGGCTGCGCCAAGAACGGCGAAGATGTCAGCACTGCAAAATTCGCTCAACAAGTTCCCGTCAACACCGGCAGCCGAATACCGAACGTTCCACAGCCCGGGTCATGTCCAAGCACCTTAGCACGCATGTGCTTGACATGCACATCGATGCAGCCTGTCCTTCGAACGTCAAGCACACTAGGCTGAACTACACTGCAGTATTCGTGGCCGGGGTATTGACAAAAGTGATAAGTGTACATACATACGTATCCTACATCCGAATCACTGTCAGTACAGCAGGCATGCTTGGTTACGGGTCACAAGTGATTGCAAGCTTTCGTACTGCGACGAAAGCTTGATAGGACCCACGAACCCGAATGCCGGCACGCGGCGACGCGTCACAAATCTACACACCTCGCGAGGAAGTATGGATGTTACATAGCTTTGTTATGCTGTCGTGGTGATATGTAATAGAGTCATGACACCGTAAACCATGAAAGCCATGCTACGTATGGTTTGAAATATTTTTCATTCGAAGAGAATGTGTCGTGCCGCGGCAAAACAAGGTCCGGCAAGACCGTCCCTCGCCACAGACGGGCAACAGGAAACGAAGAAGAAGCTCCAAATATGCCACTCCCGGGCACAGACGAGCGAAAAAATGCGAGACCGACAACCCCGGGACCGCGGCAAAGGTCTCCCCGCCTTGCCCGGCGGCTTGACAGACAGGCGCAAAATGGGCGTGCTTCGGTCCCCGACACTCTCCCCATCCCCATAGACACGCCCAAAACACTTTCCGAAGTTTGGCCAGCTGCCTGCGACACGCCCAAGACATCTTTCCCGCAAGGTTAGGCGAGCGCGCTCCGCGACCCGGCCCAGAACGCCGGCCGCCGTGCGACACAACTCGCCAACGCTTCGAGGATTCACGGACGTGGCATTTTGTCAACACGTGGACCCCTGGACCCCAGCTTTTAAACACTTTGAAAACGAGAACCCTTTTGCTACGCATTCGGGAAAGTGCGTGATAAGACTAGCAAGAGGAAGCCGGCTGGACAGAGGTCTTGCCAATGTCTCAGGTCCAGGAAAACTAGGCTGGATATTGATCTGGGCATGTGTTATCTTGTTAGGGTGCATCGTATGTTTTGCCGCTCGGCCCGTACTCAGGTAAGAAGAAGCTCAATGCTGAGCTTGCCAACGGCAGGCTTGCCATGATGGCCATCATCGGGATGTTCTTCCAGGTACCTTGCAAACGAACCGTCATTTGCCATGTAATGTGAGTGTGAGTACATTCCCAGCTGCCTGGAAACAGATGTTGCTGTAGTTAGTGTTATTATTTGTACTGTTTCCCCAGAAACGCACAACGACAACAATTGAAGACCAGCGTATCTTTTGTTCGAATGGCAAGGCTGCATCGTAGTTCATGTAGGCTCGGTGAGTTCAGGGTTTAGGATTTAAGTTAAGGTTTAAATTGTCACATTCTCCTGAGCGCTTCTACGATTCCTGATGCAAGCCCGCTGCATGAACCCTTCCAGGCCAGGGTTTGTCAAGTGCCATGTACTGTGGCCTGGGACGATATCGCCTCCATGTGTCGGCCAGGATGGGCTGACAGGCTCGGCTTGGGGTGACTGGGCGAAGCTCGGCAGGTGTCGAAATGTCAAAGTTTTGGTTTGACATGGATGAAGTTTTCGTGAGTTCGTCCCAGCCACGGACGTCGACGATCAAGATCTCGCAGTCTTGCTATTCCTCAGGAACTACACTGCATCTCCCTTGCGAGCCTTCGAGGACAGCTCTTGGGTCTGGGAATCTGCGACAGATTTCGAGGTTTGCTGTCTTGTGGAAGAAGGATGTACGGTTTAGGGGGCACAGCCTTACAGCAACAGCGTCGTGCCCATCCCTGAAATCAAGCCCTTCGTCATTTTGATGAAAGCCACATACTGTTGTGCTGGTGATCCCAGGCGTCGTCGTCGTAGTAGTAGTAGTAGTAGTAGTAGTACTACTACTACTACTACTACTACTCCTGCTGCTGCTGCTACTACTACTACTACTACTACTAGTACTAGTAGTTATGCTTGTTGTACTAGTAGTACCAGTAGTATGTGAAGCCGGCTAAACCGGTCTTGCAACAAAGCAAACACAGCCAGCCCACTGTTTTATGGCCTCGCGAGTTCACGCTCCGACCAGTTCTCTAGGTACGGCCGTGCCGTGCGATACCGACCGCTGGGCCGCAACTTTACGAGCTACAACTACCAGCAAATCTACCGTGCACACTTGGCACACCTAGTTACACAAGGCACTTGAGCCAAAGCAGTGTTTGGCAAAGCTGTTGATTAAGCAACATGCAGCTGAAAGAGAATTACTGCAGCTCTAGCAGCCTGAAGCAGGCCGGTGAACATGCCCTCATGACATGTATGACAGCTCACAAGAAGAAGAAGTAGTAGTAGTAGTAGCAGCAGTAGCAGCAGCAGTAGCAGTAGCAGTAGCAGTAGCAGTAGTAGTCGTAGTAGCACTGGTAGCACTGGTAGTGGTAGTGGCAGTAGTAGTAGTAGTAGTAGTAGTTGTTGTTGTTGTCGTTGTAGTCGTAGTCGTAGTCGTGGTCGTGGTGGTGGTCGTGGTGGTGGTGGTGGTGGTGGTGGTAGAAGCAGTAGTAGCAAGAGTAGTAGTAGTAGTAGTAGTAGTAGTAGTAGTGGTGGTAGTAGTGGTGGTAGTAGTAGTAGCAGCAGTAGCAGTGGCAGTAGTAAGAAAGGGAATGGTGTTCTTTCTGATTTTGGTAGTAGCCCCAGCTACTGTCGCTGACTGCCACTAGTATGACGACGGACGCTGAGATTGGCGATCTTCAATGTGTGGCGTCAAACAGCCAACTGATACATGTGACGAGTAAGCGCAAGTAAGACACGCCACACGGGCTACCTGAACCGCAAGTAGTATGTGACAACCCTGTGTGTACTGCACGGGACGTTGTGTCCCCACGTTACTCGCCTCGTTCATTTGGCAGATACTTGCTGCACTAGCACTAGTAAAGTGGGATAGAAACCAGAGCTGCAAATGTCCATAAACGTAATACGCACGAATAGCCAAAAGCAGACCCAGCGTCATGGACATAGCAGTAGGACTGAGAATGCATCAAGATCCTGTAGAATTCCTCCATAGAAACTACTTCTGGCCGTTCCAGTCTCGAAACTTCTCGCAGAATGGCTTTACTCAACTGAGCGCCTGTTTGTCGCTGCGGATGCTTCTTGATTCAGGGGTGTAGGGTTCAGGGACTGGGGCTCCCTTAGACCGACGTTAAACCCGAGAAAAGGTCATACACTGCTGTCCTTCCGAACGGGAGCCAGTTCATCGTCAAGCTCCGGAGCTCGTGAACCCAAATCGCAAGGCTTGAATCACATTTGGGTTTCCGACTTCTGGTTGTGGTCTTGCTGCGGTGTAGTCGTCAACTGAAGATCTGACTCCCGTGTGCATGGGGCCATACAGGAGCTGGGACAACTAGTACAAGGTAGGTGGTAACATAATTCAGAAAGGGAAACCTTTTACGAATTTGCAGGCCTGTCTCTTCGGGTGTGGAGTATTTGGGAGGTTTATTTAAGCCGCTATACCCCAGACTCGCAACACCAACCTCGTGTTTTTGAACATGCGTTCAAGGACAAGAGGTATGCCTTCGGGGAATCTCTGGACATACTTCAGAAACTAAGCTTTGGAGCACAGGGTGCTTGGTGAGCACCCGCATTATTACGAGAAACAGGGTTTAGGCTTTCTGACGGGCACGGTGGTGCTACTTTATAATCTCTAGCCTTCATGAATCTATAACCTTCATAGACTACTCAGGCCCCGTAGGAGGCCGGCGCAGCTACTCATTCATATGGGTCCAAGTTCGTGGCTGCCTTATGCAGCTCATTCCCAGACTAAACCTGTAGATGCCACTGATGCCAGTTTCGACTAACTGATATGGGGTAGGGTCTAGAGTCTCCGGAGAAGGTCAAGGATTCACAGTGCAGCTGTCAATTAGGGTTCCTGCTTGGCTCTCCCACAAGAAACAAGAATCCAGCACTGTCGCAATGAGGACCTAGCAAAGGAATCGGACCTGAGGGAACTACCCGTATCTTTGTGCGACTCATAGAAGGCAGGCTCTCAGATTCTTGAAAGAGCTTTCGCTTCTGCCCCGATGCTGTCGGGGCGGCAAGCCTGTGTTTCATGTTTGTGAGTCGTCCAACATAGCAAACCGACCGGAATGTGATGAAGAACCCTTCACATGCGATGAAAGCCCGATACTTCCTCGGATGCACAATTGTGGGTTTAAGGTTTGTCTACTTAGGGTTGATAAGGCAGCAAGAGTCTCATGCTCTTGAGCTTCCGAATGAAGATCTTGGAGTCTCAGGGTTGGGTCAGGGTTGTGCGGTTCTGCACTCGGACCTCTGTGAAAGGCAAAGGCGTCTAAGCTTGGCTGAGCCCGGAACCCAAATTTGCCCCTGAACACCCTTGAAATAATGTAGATGCCGAGATTCAGGGATTAGGATCGCCCAAGGAAAAGATGCACTCTGAAACATCCGGCTGGCCGCTTCCCGATGCTAGGGAGAATAGCTTGAAATGGATTTGTTGGGCCATGGTCTGTAAAAGCCAGGAGCTCGTACCGTTGCTAGTTGCTTTTCACAACAGATGTACCGTGGCTTCTGCTACGATCGGCACGCAATGACTGAAACAGTATTAGTAATGGTCGTAAGTTGTTGTCGTGGCGGTGGTGGAGTCGTCCTCGTAGTAGAAGTAGCAGTAGCAGTCGCAGTAGCAGAAGGAGTAACAGGAGCAGTTGGAGTAGTAGGTATAGGAGGAGTAGCAGTAGGAGTAGGAGGAGTTGCAGGAGTGGGAGTAGCAGTAGGAGTAGGAGCAAGAGCAATAGTACCAGTAGTAGTTGGTAGTGGTAGTGGTCGTGGTCGTGGTCGTGGTCGTGGTCGTGGTCGTGGTCGTGGTCGTGGTGGTGGTGGTCGTAGTAGTAGTAGTAGTAGTAGTAGTAGGAGTAGGAGTAGGAGTAGGAGGCGGAAGAGGAGGAGTAGTAGTCGTGTTGGTGCTGGTAGTAGTAAGTAGTAGCGAGAGTCGTAGTATCGCAAACACACACACACACACACTCAGAGACAGTCACAGACAGACAGACAGACAGACACACACACACACATACACACACACACACTCACGCGCGCGCACATGCACAGGATCCGAACACTAACAACAACAACAACAACTACTACTACTACAGCAGCAGCAGCAACAACACCAACATGAAACACCAACACCGCCACCAACAGCAACAGCAACAGCAACAGCAACAGCAACAGCAACAGCAACAGCAACAGCAACAGTAACAGCAACAGCACCAGCAACAGTAACAGCAACAGCACCAGCAAAACCACCACCACCACCAACAACAAGGAAGCACGTGCGTCTGCCGCCGCGCGGGGTGTGTCGTTTATGTTTGGGAGGTATTTTAGTAAAAAAACACGAGAGCCCTGTGTTTTGCGAGGTTTTCGTCAACAACACGACGTTTCGGGGTTTTCGTTTTCCCATGTTTTTTGTTCTTGT